ACATTGATATATCACTAACCAATCAATCATTGTTAGACCCTTACCATTTGAAACCTGGAAGCACTTGACGGAAGTCTCATCCTGGTTTCAAATGGTAAGGGTCTAACAATGATTGATTGGTGATGATATATCAATGTTCAGAATCACTGATCTCCTCATAACTCTGATTACAAAAGTAGTATTAGTTGAGCGCTACAACTACTCTACTTATTTTGGATACTTAAATCAAAATAATTGAAGACTATTTTCCATAGTTTCATTAGTGTTTAAGTTGTTATTCGTTATTGGTTAAAACTATTCGGTTATGAATTTCAACCGTGCCTCAGTTATTTTGATTTAAGTATTCAAAAAGATATGTATAGCTTCGATATAATGGAGTTGTATTTTATAGCATTAGTATATGGATATCTGTGCACAGCTACTAAATCATAGTTATACAGATTACTTTTATAAGAATAGGAAGTGAATTAGTTGAGCGTGTTAACCGCTCCATTTATATTGGGTGTCTTCTCATCAGTGTTGATGGCCTGATGTCTGACCAGATCTCGGTACGGATACAGATGGTTTGACTGGCTTTTGTCAACTTGTATCACTTATCACATTGGGGAGATATCCGTCTGCTAACCAAAGAACAGGTTTACTGCGCAGCAGTTCGCTCTCTCCCACTCTACGGGTGTGTAACATGGTCAGTAAGAATAGAGGATAGGTGTCTTGAAAGCATTGCTCATGTATTCTGCGACCGCCGAGTAGGCAGTGCTAGGGGTTAGAAGAAGGGTAGTATCTAGGGATGACAAATCGATTGATTAAGCTTCTTACTGCGTATTAGTTTATAGGTTACGAATTGTGCACAAACCAGTCAATCCTTTGAAACTATCATCAAAAGATGTTTACCTTTAACCTGAGTATCAATGCACAGTCGTGTATACTCGTCGTTTATAGGCTTTATACTACATTCTCTGTGGTACGCTGATACAATTTGATTGACTGAAATAGAAGCCGATGGATCAGAATTAAAACCTGCTAGCTAGATGTTGAGAGGTTAAGACTAGTGGCAGTCCAGTCTTACTCTTCAACTACTCTCATATGGCCACGCTCACTGACTTCTTATAGCATAGTTATTGTTCATGAAATTGAGGGGACGGAAAGCGAATATTCGATCATGTCTTAAACTGAGTTGTTAGATACAAAGGGTCTACTTGGAGGAGTTGGAAAATCCCAATTCCAACTTCCAGTATCCTGATGCAACGAATGAGGCATGAACCTACTACTGTTGATGATCGGCTACAATGTACGATTGCGTAACATAGTAGTATACTTTTATTAATACAATTACCGTTGTATTTCTCTATTGACTGAATGCCGACAGTGTGCTTTTATGTATTTCTGTTTGTTTTTGTCAATTTTTGTAGTATGATATCAGATCTCGAACATGGACATGTTGTTTGTGTAATACACGAAATAATTTTCCAGTTCAATATGCCGGAATGACTGAACAAAAATTACCAGCAGAATTAATGCCTCAATTTACTACACTTGAATATACTATTCCAGTAAGTGTCTATTTTTATTTGTCAGTGTTGTTGATGTTAGATGAATTATTCGAGAATCCATTTCATCAGTCAGAGAGGTATGTGTGTGTGTAGGAAGGATTTGATTTCGACCAATTTGGTCTCGTGTGCTGGTATGGGTATGAGGGCGGTTGTCACTTCTCGGCCGCCCACACCTTGGAAGGTTGTTTCTAGAGGAACGTGAAAAGGAAGATGGATTACTGTTGGTCTTAGAGACCTGGGTGCGTGACCGCAGAGCCCAAGGGACAACTGCTTGAGGCTGGTCACGCATGGCCTTGTGGTGAAGGGTTTTTTGAGGATTAGCTCCGCTCATAAACACCCTTAGTGGGCACCCTTACCGCCGGAGACGGAAATCCGTGAGGTAGGGTGAGTTGTGACATTTTTAGGGTCGACCTTTTCTAACCCTTCCTTCCTTGTGATGAGGCAGCATCGCTGCAGATGCTGGTTGTTGCCCGAGGGAAACATTTTACTGCGGTCACACCCCTCCATCACAGTCAGCAGTACGATTTCGCCCTCAGAACTTGAGTAGCTGTTTTTAGTCTCATCGTTCTCTCACCTGACGTGGTTGAACTCCATTGCTCACGGCTTCTCACCAAATCTACCCCTGGTCACAACTAACTGAGTACATAATAATAATTATCAGTATAGAATTGAGAGAGAATGTTGAGTTGAGTTTCATTTAAAAAATTCTATGTAAGTGATTGTGGTGGTGTTTCGTTCTCTGAGCTGGTTGTTTTGGTTGTGGAGCTTTCATTGTTCTTCTGAACAACATCATCAGCACAAACTTCAGATAGAAGTGAAGCATTCGAATTTCTCCACGTTTGACCTGTAGCTTGTTCTGCTAACCTCGATCTTGATTCGTTGCTGTTGCCTTTTGACCAGTCGTTGTTTGCACCTTTGTTTTGATTGCACCCCTCTTTTAATCTGTTTCTTGATCCTGTTATTTGTTTTCAGTCAGTCAGTCAGTCAGATGCAACGTAGAACTTTGTACATAAGTACATCAGTTCATGTTGCCATACCACATCAGCACAGAGAGGTAATCGTCAATTCAAATCCAATAGTAGAAGAGGTAGTAAGGGAATTAGAAATAATCGGAGGTTAGGATTAGAAGATACTATTCAAGAAGTATGATTCAGTGAGAAAAGTTTAGAGAGTCGAAACTAGAGGGGTTGAAGAATCCAGAAGATTAGCATTTGAGAGAACACAGAGAATAAATGCAACGGTTATTTGTTTTCACATACATACATATAGACATATATTTATTATTTGTATTGATTTTTTAGAAAGTACAACTTATTCCTCCAATTTTCATGTTCGTTATTGATACATGTATTGAAGAGCCAGAATTCACTCAGCTTAAAGTAAGTTTTAATTACTGAACATGTTTTTATAAGAAATAATTGTCAATATATCTTAGCTGAATTATTTACTTCCTGCTTGATAGAGGGTTGTGGAGGTTATTGAGTTAGTTTTTGAAAGTATGAATCGATTAGAAACCTGTAAGTACTGGACGGTTGTCCCGATATGGGACTTATCAGTGGCAGTACGCATCCATAACTCCTGCTACCCGCAGGACTCGAACTCAGGACCTTTGGTTGTGTGCGTGCGAACGCCTAACCTTTGGATTACAAATCCGGTATCCAACGGTGTCTAACTTCATTCAATGTCTTTGGTGAGCACTACTTTACTCCCGAATCTGGTCTGAACTCTACTAGTCACGAGAAACTTCCTCGCGGAGCTGGTCATAAGTGAGCATAAGATAATTTGCATCAGAGCGTTTTGGAGATTGCTTTGCACCCGTTTCTTAACAGAAGCATTGCTTACTCGGTGGCTCCAGGATACGCAAACTATGCTTCGGAGACATCTATGGTCGAGAAAAATAACCTACGAATATCTTCTCAACCAAATCACTCTTGATGGAGATGACTTGGAGGACGTCAACACCTGGGCAGCATTATCGACAAACAAGGTGGATCCGATGTAGACAGAGGGCACGGATCGGCAAAGCGAGGGGTGCATTTCTACAGTTGAAAAATATCTGGAACTCTAAACAACTTTCAACCAAAACCAAAATCAGGATTTTCAATACAAATTTCATGACAGTTCTACTATATGGAGCGGAAACTTGGAGAACTACGAAAGGTATCATCCAGAAGATACAAGTGTTTATTAACAGTTGTCTACGCAAAATACTTCGTATTCGTTGGCCAGACACCATCAGCAACAACGTACTGTGGAAGAGAATAAACCAGATTCTAGTGGAGGAGGAAATCAGGAAGAAGCGGTGGAAGTGGATAGGACACACATTGCAGAAAGCACCTAACTGCGTCACAAGACAAGCCTTCACATGGAACTCTCAAGGCAAAAGGAAAAGAGGAAGCTCAAAGAATACATTACGCCGAGAAATAGAGAAAGATATGAGAGGAATGAACAAATATTGGACAGAACTGGAGAGAGAAGCCCAGGACAGAGTTGGTTGGAGAAAACTGGTGGGCGGCCTATGCTCGATTGGGGTCACGGGCGTAAGTAAAGTAAGTAAATAAGTAACGAATGCCTTTTACTCCTACTTAGTCCTAATCATATTTTACAGGAATGTTCATGCTTTGATTATTGCTTTGAGTGTGTATTCAGTCTACTACTGTTTTTTTTCCTTCATCTTCTAGCAATCTATTCAATTGTCGTTGAGTTTCTTGCCACCGCATGCTTTTGTTGGTTTGATTACTTTCGGGAAAATGGTACATGTTCATGAATTGGAAGCTGGACCAATCTCGAAATCATGGGTATTCAAAGGAACAAAAGATTATACAGGCAATCAAATTCAGGTATGTTAGAAAAAAACGTGAATGTTTTAACTTTTCTCTTATATATATATATATATATATATATATATATATATATATATATATATATATATCTACAGAAGGCTCAACTGGCTATTGCCAACCTGCGTCACACGTATGGCGTAGGCGAGATATCCGTTTGCTGACTAAAGGACGAGTGTACTGTGCAGTGGTTCGCTCCGTGTTACTTTATGGCTGTGAAACATGGCCAGTGAGAGTAGAAGATATTCGTAGGTTACTGGTTTTCGATCATAGGTGTCTTCGAAGCATTGCTCGTATATCGTGGGACACCCGAGTGAGCAACTCTGTTATTAGGAAACGGGTGCTGGTTAAGAATGGCAGATCAATAGACTCAGTAGTGACACTTCATCAGTTGAGGTTGTTGGGACGTGTGTTGCGTATGTCTAACCACCGACTGCCTCGACGAGCTATATTTTGCGGTGTAGGAATAGGTTGTACGAAAGCTAGGGGTGTCCAGACCAAAAAATTGGCAGCAATCCATGAAGTCACTGACAAGTGGAATGAATCATGTCGGTAGTTGTCAACTACCTGGTTGGGGTCCACGAGATGATAATAATCCATGGTTACAGACATTGAATGACATAGCTCAGAATCGTTTGCGATTGCGCCGGTGCATTTATTCTTTGTGTTCTCTCAAATCCTAATCTTCTGGATTCTTCAACACCTCTAAACTTATCTCACTGTATCATACTTCTTGAATAATATCTTCTAATCGTAACCTCTCCGATTACTTCTAATACCTTTACTACCTCTTCTACTTTTGGATTTGAATTGACAATTACATCTCTGCGCTAGTGCAGTAAGGCAACATGAATCCATAACATGCCTTTCGTTCTTTGTGGAACTCATCAGCTACATGCACTTGTTTCCGAGCACTGATTTTCCTGCTGTATACTTCAATCGACAATGTGTTATTCACCGAGCCACTTGTTACAGTTTAAGTGAGCTGATCAATATTTTAGTTATAAATTTTTTCTATCCCGTGTCTACTATTTCTTCTGTTTAGTTTAGTGTCTTAGACTGCGTCAGTTGTACATCTAACCCGCATAATTAACCTTAAATCAATGCAAGCTAAGTTCTTATTGACCCAGTACAATCGAATGTTTCTTAATTCTTTGTCCTGAATTAAAAGTTCACCAACCGCCTAGATAGATTTTCTATACTCACCAACGCTGTTTAAACCATGATCGGATATCCACAGTTTATTTTGACCTACCCGTTCCATGAACAATACCTGTGCCACAATAAGTTCATGAGTAGGAGATTTCTTCGACAATGGCTATGATGTTTGCTTGTCCATGTAAAAAGCATTTGACGAGGGAGGCCAGACTCACCCAACTCTTGACCATACCAGAGTATATATATATACAAACAAGATAGAAACAGTATACATTTTTTTCAAAAAATATATTCTTTTCATTTAAGGTTATGTTAAGTGTTGGTCGTAGTTCAATGACATCCGTTGGTCAACCTGCTGTATTCAATGCCAATTCTCCTCCTATGGCTCCTAAAGGAGGTGTTTACGGTACTGAACAACATCAGCAACCACAGCAGCCACACCACCAACAACAACAACCTCCACAACCACAAATGACTCAATTACCATACAACAGGTGATTTAATGTTTTTTTTTTCATTTTTAGTCTGTGTTGAATATGTGTTATTTGTCTTCAGTATTTGTTATGTTCGTCACTAGGTGCTATGCTTGAAGCTATTTACGAGTTCACTTTAGCCGATAGATAAAACGCGAACGAGACAATGAACCAGAGTCCATGTAGGCTACCTTGAATCCCCTCAAGCTTGTAAAACAGAAAACTTGATGTAGCGTAGAAAGTATATTCTACAAACACCCATCAGCAATCACACAATACAATCAAGCACACACACAACTCTCGTTTTATTATTTATACATCATAGAAATGTCCTTGGGACAGTTACGAAAATAGCACACTAAAATACACAGCAACCAATCACAGCCATGGATGGATTTTCCTGGTGGGAAATGAAATCTCAAGGTCAACTGATCAGCACATGCTCGCAAACGTGAAATCCCAAAATAAGGCATTTATCAAGCGAGTTCTGTGTATCTAACATCCCCAACACACAGTTTGGTCATTCATAAGCACTACTATCTATTATGATCATAGAGATACATGAATACAAACTAGACGATCTAGAAAATTCTGACCATTTTCTATCTATACTTGAATGATTGATCACATTTCAAAAGTAAGAATTGTTTCGTATGGAAATAGAATCAGAAATTTGTACACAAAAGGAGGCTATGGCAAGTTATCAATTCAAACCTGATTATTATGTGCCCAGTTACCGATTCAACTATGAACAATACAATTTTAATCTGCTGTCTCTAACTTGGTCAATCAATCACAAGTTTAACTAGCACTGTTGACAATAATGAGTGGACAGTTAGGCTTTGAGTACAGAAATAGTGAAATATCCTTGATTGTATTGATATATCAAAACAGATATGGTTTGTTTATACCCAAACAGAACAGATCACTTCAGTTCCTTGATTATTGCCCTTCAACGCACTGAGCAATCGGAACTCTGACAGAGACATAATCAAAGAGGACATATCTTCTGTCTTCATCAGGCCACTTAATTCATATTTAACTGATGAGTATGGTTTATGATAAAGAACTCTCAAATTATTCAGGAATTGTTGACTGTTTACAACCAAATGACATCCGTTTTAGTACTGATTTTATTGAACGATAAGTAACTGTGATTGTTGTAAGAAAGAATCACTAGTTGGGTTGAACACTTGGAGAGAAATAGTCATTATTATGATTTTTAAGAGGAGATACTAATATGTTGCTTTGCTTAAGCAAAAAATAACAATGATCGACAGATAGTTAGTGTTTTAAACTTGAGATCCGCGATTGAAATCACGTACTGTATTGCCCACCTACGTTTCCGATTATTGAGCAGTGTACTTATATGGCTAGTACTATTGGTCAATACATTGATCAATAAACCACAACTCCAAGTCTTATTACTTCATTGTCCCTTGAGCTCCTTCTAACACAGTGTTAGGATATTCACAAAATATCCTAAGAGTACTATTTTTGAAAGTAAAATCCTATTGGTCGATTTCTGTTGGTTAAAATTATGGTCGTTTTAACTGTCAAAGTCAAATACCTCAATGTTGTCTCTTATCGGTCATCCGGACTGTCAATGTCATTTCAAATGTTACTTCCTATTGGTTGTCCTAAACTGTCAGTCACAGACTTTGATGCTCTTTCCTATTCGACCTAAATGTATAAATACGCACTATCTGTAAGACTTCATGTTTTCCGTTCCTTCCTGCCTACCTCTCTTCTGTACTCGACGCACTAAATAACTTCATCCAACGGTGTTGCGTTCTGATATATAGGAGATTTGGGGAATAATACTTGGGTCGTATTGGAATATTTGAATTCGGACGTCGGTAGGATTCGAATAGCTACGCAGCAGCATTATAACACACAGTAGTCAATTAAAAGGGGTAGATAGGAAGTAGATTAGTTTTTCCTGATCATAGCTGCTACCTTGATATGTGGTGGTTGGAGCTTGCCTGTCGTAATAACACAACCCGAGCTATATTGACTGGAACATATGTTTATTTAGGTCATACCATGCTAGGCAGGTCGATTGGTGAACAATATGACTAAAAGCAGCAACTTAGGGTCTGGACCTTCTACTAGGAGACACGTTTGTTGACTTAGAATACACCGATGACATTGTCCTACCTGGTAAAGGCGCTGACGATATGCAGAGTCTTTTGACTATTCTACGCAACAATACAAGCATGTTCGGGATGTGATCCTTACCGTCGAAATGCAAAATGTTACTTGCGTCGGCACCTGATATGCAAAAGGTAGCGAAAAATTCACAATTAAATCAAATTAGAAAATGTAAATTTAAAAAATATGATTGACTTTAATGTCGTTCTACGCATACATGGCCAGTAAGAGTAGGGGATATTCGTAGGCTATTAGTATTCGATCATCGTTTACCGTGAGACAATCAAGTAAGCTATGCTGTTGTTTGGAAACGGGTGCTAAGAAAGAATGGCAAATCAATTGATGAAGTGGTAAATCTTCATCATTTGAGATGGTTGGGACATGTATTACATATGCCCTACCGCTTAGATGAGCTATGATCTATAGTGTAGGAGTAGGTTGTAAGAGAGCTGTGGGCGGCCAGACCAAAACATGGCAGAAATCCATGAAGTCACTGACAAGTGGACTGAGCCATATTAGTAGGCTACGTGGTTGGGGTCCGCGAGACGAATTTCACCAATGGTTAGAGACCTTGAATGACATGGCTCAAAGTTGTTTGCAATGGCGCAGGTGCATCCATTTTTTGTCTTCTCTCCCATTCTAATCTGAATTCCTCATCACATTTATGTTGCTCTTTTTAAGTTTATTTCACTGAATTAAACTTTGTTAATAATTTCTTCGAACTATGATCTTCGCCATTATCTCTAATACTTTTACTACCTGTACTGCTATGGCATTGAAATTGACAATTGTATCTGTTTTTGTGCTAATGTGCAATGTCAACTTGAACTGATGTACAAACATGAGAAGTTCTACGATATAGCTGACTGACTGATTGACGTTCTACTTATATTGTATTTCTATTTTGAAAATAATTCCCCACATACAATCAATTTTATAAAACTTTCTAATATTTTTCTGTCTGTTGGTATGTACATTGTAGATTTATTCAACCAATGGAACGGTGTGATGCTTTAATTACTGATCTCCTAACTGATTTACAACCAGATCCATGGCCTGTACCACAAGGTAAACGTCCATTACGTTCAGTTGGTACAGCGTTAAGTATTGCGATTGGTCTGTTGGAAGCTGCTTATCCTAATACTGGTGCACGTGTTATGCTATTTCTTGGTGGTCCATGTACACAAGGTCCTGGTATGGTTGTGGATGATGATTTAAAAAATATTATACGTTCACATCATGATATGGAAAAAGATAATTGTAAATATATGCGAAGAGCAATGAAAGTATGTTGTTGTTGTGGTTATTTCTCTTCATAAGATTTTGTTTCACTCTTTCAGTATTGATTGAAGATGTTCATAAGTTATTAGTATTTGATCATAGATGTTTAATAAGCATTGCTCGTATATCCTGAGACGACTGAGTAAGCAATGCGGTCGTTAGGAAACGAGTTCCAGTTAAGGATGGCAAATCAGTAAATCAAGTAGTGAAACTTCATCAGTTGAGGTGGTTGAGACATGTGTTACGTATGCCTAACAACTGACTGCCGCGATGAGCTATGTTTTGCAGTGTAGGAGTAGGCTGGAATAAAGCTAGGGTCGGCCAGACCAAATCATGGAAGAAATCCATGAAGTCATTGACTAGTGGACTGAGCCATGTCGGTAATTGTCGACTACCTGGTTGGGGTCCGCGAGATGATAATAATAGATGGTTAGACACCCTGAATGACATGGCTCAAAACCGTTTGCAATGGCGCAGGTGCATTTATGCTTTGTGTTCTCTCAAATCCTAATCTCCTGGATTCTTCAACCCCTCTAGTTTTGACTTTCTAAACTTTCCTCATTGAATCATACTTCTTGAATAATATCTTCTAATCCTAACCTCTTCGACTACTTCTAATACCTTCATTACTACCTCTTCTACTATTGGCTTTGAATTGACAATTATATCTCTGTGCTGATGTGGTATGGCGACATGAACTGATGTACTTACGTACGAAGTTCTACGTTGCATCTGACTGAATACCCCTTCCTTCGTTGTGAGATGGCAGCATTGTTGCAGATGCTGGTTGTCTAAGGGAAACACAGTACTACTGTTACACCCCTCTCCACAGTCAGCAGTAC